GGAGACCTTAGAGCAGCTCCAGTGCCTAAAGGGGCTGCAGGAAAGCTGGAGAGGGGCTTTGGACAAGGGCCTGTAGGGACAGGCCAAGGGGAATGGCTTTAACCTGCCAGAGGGGAGACTGAGCTGAGCTCTTAGGCAGAAGCTCTTCCCTGTGAGGGTGCTGAGGCGCTGGCACAGGGTGCCCAGAGAAGCTGTGGCTGCCCCATCCCTGGCAGTGTTCAAGGCCAGGTTGGACACAGGGGCTTGGAGCAAGCTGCTCTAGTGGAAGGTGTCCCTGCCCGTGGCAGGAGTTGGAACTGGATGAGCTTTAAGGTCCCTTCCAACACAAACCAGTCTGGGATTTTATGAAATGCATCATTCACTTATACTGTAATATTAGATGTAAATGACTATCTTGTAAACTTCTCCAGAGGAGTAGGTGGACAAATAAGAAATGTCAGGTTATTGCATCCCAGAGGCCATCAAAATGGCCAAGTGTCCTTATCTGTTGATCCTCACTGCTTGGTCTCTGAAGATCCAGACAGGAGCTTCATGGGTTTTACCACGTAGTGGTATTCTGTGTCTGCAGTGGTGTTACATGGAGCAGTTTTGTCACTCTTCAGCATTCTACAACCTGCTGCTAGGTCTGAGCATGATAATGAGCCCTCTGCCCCTGCAGCTTGTGGTACTCCGCTGCCATTACCCTGAGGAGAATACTGCTCATCAGACACCTATCAGCATCCACCCTTCACATGCTAAGAGGGCAGAGAAGAGCTATTTCTGGCTATAACACTGGCATTTTAAGCATAGTTCCTATTATAGATCATCTATCTGGATTGTCTTGTGATTGGAATGCTGGAGCTGCATTCATTTTGGCTCTTGGTGGAACATTAAGAGAGCACTGGGATGCAAGTGTGACCTTCCTAAATGGAATTACTTGAAAAACTTCCTGATGTGTCAGCTCTGGGATACATTTACTATGAAGCTGACACTGATTTCAGTATCCTCAAGAACTTAAAATACTCAAGTGTGTGGTGGTGGGAATGGCTATGTAATTTTTGGCAACTGCTCTATACTTATGTATGAGTCATGCTTATTCTGGCAGTGTTGCAGCCACTGGGTTCTAATATTCCAGTAGTTTAATGGTCAGCTGCCTGGTTTAATCTATAGTCTGAGCAGAGATTGCCAACAGAGAGAAATCTTACTGCTTTTATTTAAAACCAGTTCCTTTTTCTGATCCTCTTTCTAATAAATGAGCTTTTCTCATTTTAAATGCTGCTTCTTCCCTCAGAACAAACCCCTCCTACTTGTAGAACTGCAATTTTTCACTGAAACATCATAAAGCTCCCATTTGCCAGCTACGCAATGATATCTTACAATACTGCTGGTGAATGATCTATAGCTCTGCTTTTATTCCCTATTAGTATTTGCCTGATCGATGGCTAACCTGATTGATTAAGGTCAAGTGTCTTTATTGGCTGATGCCTGACTCTTCTCATTATGACTCAAAACGTTTTATGGTCTGTTAGGCTTCTTGTACTCATTTTTGCACAGCAGAAAGATGAACTTCGTGATGTCGATGCCGTGAGCAATACACTTATGCAAGTTTTGGTACTCCAAGGTCCAGTATTAAAAGACATGAAATATTATAGAATCCCAGACTGGTTCGGGTTGGAAGGGACCTTAAAGCTCATCCAGTTCCAACCCCCTGCCACAGGCAGGGACACCTTCCACTAGAGCAGCTTGCTTCAAGCCCCTGTGTCCAACCTGGCCTTGAACACTGCCAGGGATGGGGCAGCCACAGCTTCTCTGGGCACCCTGTGCCAGGGCCTCAGCACCCTCACAGTAAAGAACTTCTTCCGTACATCTAACCTGAACTTCCCGTTTGGGTTTAAATCCATTACTTCTTGTCCTATCACCACAATCCCTTATTGAGGTATTTGGGTTGAGCTGCAGTAAGAAACACTTGATCTCAGGCTTTCAGATTGTTCTGTGAATAAGCTAACTGTGATATTGAATCAGTTGTTTGCTTTTATGACAGCTTAATCATTTCTGAGTGTACAAATGTAGAACCTTAAAACTTCGGCTTGTGATGCTTACTGAGGTATGGGCAGATGAATACTTGCTGTAGTACAGAAACAGGATCCATGTGATAGCCTGTTGTTTTGCTCCCCTTTTTTCTGCTCTGATGATACCATTTGAACTGAGTAGCTGATCTTTGGAAACATAGCTCCATGTCTTCTCAAGCAGAGTATCCTCACATAGCCTCAGAGCAGGGAATAATGGAGCAGTGTTAATAGTTAGTAGAGATATTCCCAATAAAATGGGGTTTTGCATTTTCATCTGGTGTTTGTGATCATAATCTGTTGAAGATTCATATTTACCTCTGAATTTTCACATATATTAATGTATTTTTAGCCTGGGATCTCACTTGCTGTTAGCAAGTGATCCCCCACCATTCCCCAAGGCAACTCTTTCTGTCATCTAAGCCTTGGCTGCATCTGCCAGATGGATATCGATTCCTTCTACTTGACTTAAGATGTTTATAACTGAATTACTTGGCCAAGACTCCCATATAGTTGATGAAGCTGCTTCATTCATTCATAAAATTCACTATTTCATAAGTCTACATTAGGATGCAAAGAATTGAACACTGGAATCTATTAACTCTAATGGGAACCTGGGCTAATGATGTTGGATAATATTTGCAGATAAAGCCAGCTTCTGGAGCAGAGGTCATTTCATGTCTCTAGTTTTTAAAACCTTGTTGCTGCCTAATGTAAGACAACTGGTTCCAAAAGGGGGCCCTAAAATCTGTCCGTTATGCTTTCTAATCACTAGAACTCTGGAAGACACTTTTTCTTTAGCTGTATTTGTCAAAGAAAAAGGAAATGAATGGTTTATCTGCTGCAATTAGATGGTAGCTTGGTGGTTGGAGCTTTCCACTGAACTCAAACCTGTCCATCTTAAGAGCATCTAAATTCCAGGTGTTCTACTTTCGGGGCAAATACTGTAACTATCAGCTTGGTACAAAAAGGAGGTGATGGCTTTTGCCCCTCAGCCCTAGTATCTCCACAGGTTTCCAACTGGCAACAGTTGTTGAATGCTGTCTCTATGCATGAATACTTTATACCAATGTCATCTCTGGGGGCACTGCTTGTTGTATTGCAATTGCTTCATGTTATAGTGCTTGAAAAAGTGGTTGTCTGGTTTCGAGTTATGTAAGGAAGCGGTTTTGTTACTGATTCTGAAGGCAGATGAGGGTTGTATTGCCCTGAATTCAACATCTATATCACACTCAAGTGATTGGCATTTTAGAGTGAGATTACATGTTTTAGCAGTAGGACCTTGAGGTCAGCCCATGTGAACCTCATGGAGTTAAACAAGGCCAAGTCCAAGGTTCTATACCTGGGTAGGGGAAAACCCCAGCACAAGCAAAGGCTGGGGAAGACTGGACTGAGAGCAGCCTTGAGGAGAAGGATGTGGGGATGCTGGGTGAGGAGAAGCTCCCCATGACCCCCCCTTCAGTGTGCAATTGAGTCCAGAACCCCAATGTGTGCTGGGCTGCACCCCCAGAGCATGAGCAGCAGCTCAGGGAGGGGATCCTGCCCCTCTGCTGCGCTCTGGGGAGAACCCCCTGCAGTCCTGATCCAGCTCTGGGGCAGCAGCACAAGAGGGACGTGGAGCTGTTGGAGCGAGTGCAGAGGAGGCCATGGAGATGCTGCGAGGGCTGGAGCAGCTCTGCTCTGGAGCCAGGCTGAGAGAGCTGGGCTGGGTCAGCCTGGAGAAGAGAAGGCTCCTGAAGGGGAGACCTTAGAGCAGCTCCAGTGTCTAAAGGGGCTGCAGGAAAGCTGGAGAGGGGCTTGGGACAAGGGCCTGTAGGGATATAGGACCTGGGGGAATGATGGAGGTTTATGCCTTTCCAGTGAAGTTGGCATAACTTATGGCTATCAAGCTATTATATGTTCCCGATAGGAAAATGTTATTCTTTCCTACTAGATGACTATTTTCTTTCTCCTTTCTTTACTTCCTGCTCTGTGTGTGTCACTTAATATTTGATAGAGAGAAAACATCTCCAAAGTTTTTCTTTGTTGGCTTTTTCTTAGGTTGAAACAACTTTTCACGATGTTTTCGTCTCAGAATCTATGGAAACTTTTATTACCACAATTTCTATTACAGGGAGTAACTACAAACTACTACTGATCTCTTTGGCTCAGAAATATGCAATTGCTTATGGATGTGGAGATAGTGAATACTGCATGGTATCAGTGTGGTGGTTTGTATGACTGAGCCCTTGAATATCAAAGAGTTGGGAATGGACTTGGTTTGTGTTTCAAAACCTTGTTGAATGGACTTTGGTAGCTTTACAGGTGTCTTTCAATTGTGTAGGGTTAGTGGCTCTCATGCTTTCCTACTTCTCTATTGAAAAGTTTGTTCATACACTTGAAGTTGCTTCTGAGTTCTTAACCAGCCTTTCAACTGGTTCATCTGACATCATCTAAGTGAAGAAAAGATTCTTTCCATGCCTGCTTGTTTAAACCAGATTGGGAGAATTTGAGGCAAAATCTGTTTTCTAACAGGGAGTATGGATATCTAGGATGCTATAAATACCTTGTTGGGTAAAATATATGTCTAAAAGTACTTGATTAATTGCACAGGAAGATGTTTCTCTTGGTTCCATATGAATAGAACCCAGAATCTTATGACTCTACTGTTTAGGTCTCAGTTGCATCCTCCCCAATTTTACTTTATAAAGGCATATTTCATGAGAAAAATGTATTTAACATATACTGTATGGTTTTTAGTCTTTGAAAGATTCTGCTGAGAGGAAAGTTGTTAAATAAGGGTAGTTTTTAAAGGCAGTCTAGTGTATCTTAAGTTTGAAAGGTGGTTAAACCACAAGAAAGCATTGCAGCTGCTTTAGAAAGAAGAAAATAAACCAGAGCGCTGTATTATGCAGTTTTTTCTGTAATTAGAAAGATGTTGTGTTAACATTTCTCTTCATTTTCTTTTAATTGTAGTTATCGATGAACAACTGAAGAAGAGAATAGCTGAAGAACTGGCATTAGAGCGAGCCAGGAGGGATTCTGAAGCTCAAAAGAGAAGGTTGGTTTGTTAATCAGTCTTGAACACAAATGTGTACTCAATGCTTTTATTACTGTTATTTATTTACTTACTGTAAGCAGTTGAATTCTGTGCCCTGAGACAAAGCGGTAGGTAAGACCTTTGGCTAATACAGCAGGTTTTGATCTTAAATACATGTTAAAACAACAACTTAACTGAAGTTTCCTTGCAAGAGCTGATACAAAATGTGGCTTTTGACCTCATGAGCCTGACTCTTTTTGCAGTCTCTCAAACTCAATCTTTGATTTTCTTTTGAGTCCAAATGCTCACTTTGTGGTATAGAGATGGAAATAGCTTGAGAGCAATGCAGAGGTGGGTTACCTGTAACCCATCCGTGTGATCAAAAGGTATCTCCTAACAGCAATAGAAATGGTAGTTCTTTCTGTGAATTCTAAGTATTTCTGTGAGCTGCAGTATGTTTTGAACTGCTTTGTAGTGCTTTGAAGATAGAAGGTATTGAATTAAAACAGTTTACTAGTAGAAAACTCTTTCAATATCTTCCTGTATATTGAAACAGGACTTTCTTAAGCGTGTTTTCTCTGAGGTTATGTGAAACACTGGTTAGGGTCATGCAGAATGCAGTGGCAGATTTTGGATGCAGCAGTTCTGAAGCATATTCTGCAATGTCTGCTAAGGTACTGTGGCTTTATTAGCAACGGAAGAAATCCTGTTGGAATTTGGAATTGAGTTGGCCGCGCAATGAACTGACTTGTGAGTTCATTTGTACTTTATTGCACTGGTTTTCCTATATAGATGATTACACACTGAATATAGATATTAACCTCCATATTGTCCTCTGTTCTGAGAATGGGAAGAAGGGTTCATTATGATGGATTAAAGAAATGAGAATGTAATTAGTACTATTTAAATTGTCTGCATATATCTCAATTGTTTCCTACACATCATTATATTCCTGTTTAATTGAGTTAGGTTGATGGAGTCTATAATTAGATAGGACTATATAAATGTCCCAGAAAAAAAAACGGGCTTCTTTTTGAGTCAGCAATAAAGGAAATCAATATGTTACAGTGAAATCTGTCCTCTTTTGAACTGGGCTTTAACAGGAAACCTTGGGTTAGATTTAAGTTTCGTGTTGATTGCTCAAGAGTGGAGCAAAATGTGATTACAACATGGAAATGTTTTGTTTTGTAACTCCAGTATTTTGCCATTTGACTCCTATCAGTAACTTCCATCAAGTATTCAATAATGCAGGTTTCATGGGCAGTGCATTGGGTTGTGAAAGGTAGGGAGCAGACTGGCTTGTCATGTTCCCGATGTTATATTTTATAGGCAGTAGTGCTTGGCAGTGTTCCCTTTATTTGACGAAAGATTAGTGGGGAAGATGTTACATATTCAAATGCTTCTGTAAAACCTTTGTGTGTCTTAAAATTAGGTTGAAGAATCTGTGCTTTTGAAATGTAAACTGTCAAGTAAATAATAGTTTAGAAAATGAATAAAATGACAGGCTGAGAAAGTTGGGGCTGTTGAGCCTAGAGAAGAGAAGCTGTGTGGAAACCTTGGAGCAGCTTCCAGTGTCTGAAGGGGGCTACAAGGATGCTGGAGAGGGACTCTTCATCAGGGACTGGAGTGATAGGACAAGGGGTGATGGGTTCAAACTGAAACAGGGGAAGTTCAGGTTGGAGATAAGGAACCTCTTCCCTGTGAAGGTGCTGAGGCGCTGGCACAGGGTGCCCAGAGCAGCTGTGGCTGTCCCATCCCTGGCAGTGTTCAAGGCCAGGTTGGACACAAGGCTTGGAGCAAGCTGCTCTAATGGAAGGTGACCCAGCCTGTGGCAGGGGTTGGAACTGGATGAGCTTTAAGGTCCTTTCCAACCCAAACCATTCTGCAGTTCTTTTGATAACTCTTAAGCTCTCCTGTGTTTTGACTCTGTGGTCTCCTGCGATGACTTTGGCAACTTTTGTTTTGAAAGCCACAGGAAAAAAGCTTTTCTTTAGTAATACAGATGATAGATTTTCAAACACTCCCTAGTAATGAATTGCTGGAGTCTGTTCTACTTGGCTAGCTGGGCTCCATATGGTGTGTGGCATTTTAGCTGTCATTAGCTGGATAACTTATTGCAACCTCTCTAGTTCTAAACATCCTCATCTGTTTAAAGAAAATCTCTCTAAACTCTAAATTGGCTTTTAAAGCCACGTACATGCTGGTGCACAAAGGTGGCTCGCTGTGGTAGGTGCTGAGATTGCAGCCATTACCTTCTGTATGTGTTTTTGTGTTGGTGTTGTGCTTGGGGGAGGGTCCCTCCATAGCTGCAATTCACTTTAAGGTTTAATTGATACTCAGATGTGTGTGAGTGCTTCCCCCCGACCTTGTTTTGTCACGTCTCAGCAGTGCATTGCATTGATGACAAGCTCTTAGGAAACTTCTTGGGTTAGACAGCGTTTGCAGAAGAGAGCAGCAAATCCACCAGTGTAAATGTAAATTGAGAGAAGAATGAAACACGAGATTGGAGAAGAACCCTTTGGGAAACTATGCACCAAAAATGTTATATTAAAATCAATAGCAGGGCTTGACCTTCTTCTGTGCTACTGTATGTTTTCAAGCTCGCTATTGATTTCTGTTTAATAACATGTTTATTCTACTTTACGGGCAAAAGAGAAGAAAAAGCAAATGATTGATTTAGAATATTCATTCTATTGAGGTAAATTTATGAGGAGCATATTAATGCATCTTTATTTTGTATGGGTAGTGTGCTAAATTCCATGAGAACTTTTTGGAAGTAGATCTATTTTCTTCCGAAACTACTATTTTCCTAGTGAATTATCTCTGTTGAACCAGGAGACTGGCTTTTTCTTGCAGTGTTCTTCTCATGGGGCACAGAAAGCTTACTGTGTTTGCAAACACTTGTAATGGAGTCTCCTGCCACAGGGACTTCTTGATAGTGTTTAAATTAAGTGAGAAAACAGCCTGGAAAATTACATCTTCTCTACTGCTGACAGTGGGATAGAGAGCTGGAAATCAAGATGCTGGGGAGGGACTCTTCATTAGGGACTATAGTGATAGGACAAGGGGTAATGGGTTAAAACTGAAACAGGGGAAGTTTAGATTGGATAGAAGGAGGAAGTTGTTTACTGTAAGGGTGGTGAGGCACTGGAATGGGTCGCCAAAGGAAGCTGTGAATGCTCCATCCCTGTCAGGCCCTGAAGGCCAGGCTGGGCAGAGCCTTGGGTGACATGGTTTAGTGTGAGGTGTCCCTGCCCATGGCAGGGGGGTTGGAACTCGATGATGTTAAAGACCTTTCCAACCCTAACCATTCTATGAGTCTAATACTTGAAAGCAGTAAAGTGATTGTAATGGTTTGGACTTATGATAAATCAAGAGTAAGAGTTTAAAATCTTCTGACACAAGTGACCATACTGTCACAAAAAATCCAAACTCCAGGCATTTAAAGGTATTAACCAATTGATAATCTCATTCAGGAGTGGAAGAGTTGGTATAACAGCCCTGCATCAAAGCTTTACTCTGCTGGTCATTCAGTGTAAGGATGAGTTTGCTTCTTCTAGCCCCCAACACAAGAGGGACGTGGAGCTGTTGAAGTGAGTGCAGAGGAGGCCACGGAGATGCTGCGAGGGCTGGAGCAGCTCTGCTCTGGAGCCAGGCTGAGAGAGCTGGGCTGGGTCAGCCTGGAGAAGAGAAGGCTCCTGAAGGGGAGACCTGAGAGCAGCTCCAGTGCCTAAAGGGGCTGCAGGAAAGCTGGAGAGGGGCTTTGGACAAGGGCCTGTAGGGCCAGGCCAAGGGGAATGGCTTTAACCTGCCAGAGGGGAGACTGAGCTGAGCTCTTAGGCAGAAGCTCTTCCCTGTGAGGGTGCTGAGGCGCTGGCACAGGGTGCCCAGAGAAGCTGTGGCTGCCCCATCCCTGGCAGTGTTCAAAGCCACACTGGACACACTCTGCAGTGAGAAGGGCTACCGAAGTAAAGCTCTGTTGTCGGTACTGCTACATTGATATAGTCTGTGGATAATTATGCTGTCATTGCTCATACACCTTTATACAGTATGACTTGTGTTCACAGATGCTGAGAAGCTTAACCTTTATGTAATATGACACTCAAGTGCATCTAAATAAACCCAAGCTATTGATTTGAGAGAGGAAAACTTGGATATTTTATAGTGATAAACAGGACTTTGGAAGATAGTAATAAATTAAGTTAGAAATAAGGCATAAATCTGCCCCATCCCTGGCAGTGTTCAAGGCCAGGTTGGACACAGGGACTTGGAGCAAGCTGCTCTAGTGGAAGGTGTCCCTGCCTGTGGCAGGGGTTTTAACTGGGTGAGCTTTAAGGTCCTTTCTAACCCCAACCATTCTGGGATTCTATGAAATTGCATCTAAACTGGGCAGATAGGCCTGTATGACATCTTACAAGGGCCTGTTGTCTGTGAATGTGATGTGTGTGTGCATGACTCTTTCCTTCCATATCTGAAGATGTAAAGTTAGTGAAGAGATGAATTAGAATGGTCACTAAGATAGCAGAGAAGCTTTTTCCGAGTGTGAAATCAGAGACTGCTGAGCAGTGGTGAGTGCTGTTCATTTACCAAGACAACACAGAGCAGTTTGGTGCGTGTAACTAACGTTATAAAAACATCATGATGTTTTTATATACCTATTTTGAGTGTCCAAAAGGCCACTTCAGTCTCGGGGTGGGCAACATGTGGTATGACACATGGAGACGGCAGCAAGTTGTGGCGTTGCTTCCACAGATTGAACTGCTCCTAATCCCCTTGCCTTGTCATGCCAGCTCAAAGGTTGGGTTCTTTTTCCCCTCTCACAGCAGAGGTTTCTCTTGTCTGATCTCACACACACAAAAAGATTTCAAGTGAATATATTCTTGAATAGATATAATATTGGTGAAGTCTGAAGGGTTATGGAGTAATAATGCTGCTCCCTCACAGGATAAGAGGGAGTGAGAAGGATCAGGCTGGGTGAAAACTGTCCCTTTGTGGGCAAGGGAAGAAGCCATGATTTAAGG